AATTGTATGCATAATAAATATTCACTATCACTGTATGAGGTAAGAATCAACAGCTTTTTATCACATTTACACAACACTTTATGAGTACAAGTCATGAACAAATCTTAAATATGGCAGGGAATGTGTTTACTTTTTTAGTTTTGATTTTGAGCAGCAAATTTGGAGTTACATATTGGTGCTCATCAGGAATGCATAGGCAAAATTGCACAAATTTTCACTTGAAAGAATAGTGGCGATCTTGGGATTTTTTTCTGTTCAATTTTCAAACTGTGTAAATTTAATACACTTCATCTTCAGCATGTTTAGTGCCACTTTTGTAAGTAACCACGCCCCCGTCCAGGCCACGCCCCTCCAGGCCACGCCCCTTCCGCTTTTTTCATCACTCGCCATTGCCATGTATGACATCAAGCAACTTCATCCCCTATGCATATGTACAGAGAGACAGTATATGAGTGAATTAACACTGTCACACATGTATGTTAAACATGCCACACACCGAGCAACGCGGCCTAAACTCACTGATTCGTCACACAGTGGGCTGGGTTCAGCAAAACTGTTGTTTACATGAGTGGCTAATTTCAGGTCTTTGGTGTTGCTGTGATTCAAATGTTAAATTGTAACAAAAATGCATGGGTTTTTACATGGAATAAAAAGGTTTCCACATTTTAAGTCTGAGTTAAGTGAGACCCAGTTTGCTGGCAGTCACTGCTGCGCTGCCAGAACAACATGTAACATGCAAACTCCACACAGCTGTGCCACAGTTGAGATTTAAGTCAAGGACCTCGTGGCTGTAGAGCAAACGCCCCACATTAGAAAGGGCTGTTCTTAACCACTCAGCCATGGTTGCTCGTGTCACATGAAGGTACACTATGTTTGATTTTCAACATTTAAGGCCTCTGCTTCTCATCATCCACAGGATATTATGGCACATAGTGCCATTCGTCTTCAGTGTCGAGACAAAACACACATGCCTTGTAGTGGTGTTAATATTTCTTTTACTTTGGAAGAGATCACTTCTTGAAACCATTAGCAACATCCAGTGGCACTTGGCCAGCACTGGAACTTGTGTGACAGAGCAGACTGAAAAGACAAGTTGTTTTGAAGATGTTTGACCTGTCTATTTTATTAATTTCCCCCAAATAGGTACTCTTTATTCATTTAGAAAAAGATTACTTGCGAAAGAAATGTTCTTATTTTTTTCCAAGTACAAGTCAAAGATCACCTTTGCTGGGTTTGGTCATGTGACATTCCACATATAGCAAATTTCAATTACGAACATTGATCACCCCACCCCCCCATGTTTATTCTTTATATTAAGTTCAGCAGTGCCTGATCAAGAAACTCTTTCCTGGAAGCTTGACTGTCAAACATGAATTGGCGAATAAATCAATAATAATTACTAATTCCCAATTCATTTCAACAAAGCAACTGTGAGAAAAAAAGAGAATGGCTGTACACCTGACCTTATCCTGGTTGTATCGGGAACTTCATTCTCATGCTTGGCCCGATAACGCTCCAACATTGAGGAAGTGCTTTTTTTGAGAGAAGACAGCTCTGAGAAAAGAAATGCAAAATTTTACCTGCAAAAGATAATTGGAAGCGTAAACTAAGAGTTACCTTTAAATTAATTAGAATTAGAATGGAACAAGACAAGTCCAAAATTTGAGAGTAATTGGGTGAAACATGGAGATGAAATCAATACCAAAATCATCTCACACAGCCCTTTGTCCTGGCCCAGTGTGTTTCATCTTTGTGTGTGCACTCTAGCCTCTGGGCACATTCCGTCCTGCCCTTGACTTGTTTTTTTTTTTTTTTTTTGCAGTTATGCGTATTTTGAGTTTTCAGCCACTGAACCTCAATGAAATCTCCCCTTTGCTCTTAACACTGCAACTGTGTCCTGCCTTCCAAGCCTGGTACTGACACCCTGTGTCATGTTCCTGTTTCGGCAGCAGGTGGCAGGCTGAGTATTCTGCTGGCTGCACACCTTGTTGCCAATCTGTCATTTTGTGCCTTGTATATTAGGACCGTCCTTCTGGCTTTTCGTTGCCGGAGAATTGTATGCCGTGCCACTGCTATTGCCCGTGTGTCGTTTATTCTCGTTCTCGTTATCGTAATTATTGCTCTTGTTTGGACGTCGGTTCTCTTTGTATAGTATAGTTTTCGTTTTAATAGTCGCGAGTTTATTTTTATCCTTGCCTTTCGGGCAAGCGCTTTTTGTTATCGGGTTTTTTGTGTGTTTTTCCTGGTCCTCACTTTTGACCAGCGATTTCTGTTTCCTCTTTCTTACGGTGCAGTTTTTGTAATAAACATTATTTCTTGTACGGAGTTCTTGTTGGGGTCTGCTATTTTGGGATCCGAAAACATTATTTTGCTTCGAACGAAGCCTGACGTCCTCGCTTCGTTCGGAACGTAACACCGTGAGCTTTAGATTGTTTCAGGATGTGCGTCACATTAACAGACTAACTTCCTTATTAACACAGTTCGGCACGTTTTTGCCAAGTCGACACAATTCATGCATCGGTCACGTGATGGTCTTAAAGCGGTAGGCGCACCGATGCGGCGATTGCTTGGTGAGCTCGGCTTCAAGCCTACCGCAAAACAAAAATTCCCCATCTCACACTGAATGGAGATATTTGGCTTACTTGTTCCCCCACTCCATTTTTTTGCCTGTATGTCAATCAAGTGACAAATTTCACATTTTTTTAAACTCATTCATCCCTTGACAGGGAGCTATATTAATTGGATAAAACTGGGAGGGCTGGCAATGACTGAGTTAATACCATCCGATCGCAAACGACACATTGGATATTCCTGCTTTAGACCAACTGAGGTGATCAAAGTTGCAGATACAATACAATACATCTTCATTTGTATAGCGCACAGGTGTCAAAGTCAAGGCCTGGGGGTCAGATCTGGCTCGCCACATAATTTTATGTCGCCCGCGAAAGCAAATCAAACATGGCAACTTCCATGATACTTGCTAAAATATGCACCAACATTTCAAATTCTCATATGTAATAAATAAGAGAGACATTGAAAGCATTTTCTTGTTGCCAAACACCTCATTACAGTAACTTAAACAACAGTTGAATAAACTGTTAGTCTTGACTTCTTTATATGACATCAGTCCCTCCAAGGGAAATAGTAATTAAAATGTGGCCCGCGACGAAAATGGGTTTGAACGCCCCCCATATAGCACTTTGACAATAGCTGCAGCTAGCTGTATCAAAGCGCTTTACAGAACATTTAAAATAAAATAACACGAATAACACATACCACAAAAAATGGACAACAAAACAATCGGAACAGCTATTCCCGCAAACCGATAAATGAGTGCATTTGAAACGGTCTACTACTTCCAGTTTTGTCAATTTTAAGACCTTTGTATTAAACATTGTATTTCAATTATGTCTTCCAGCATGGAGATATGCCACCAAAAAAACAACATCACTATGTGTCCTTTGTGTGATAAAGTGTGCAGCTATTGGAAGCTGAGTTCTGCTTGTGGAACTGCAAGAGCCAGTCACTTATTCGACAACCCAGCTACCGTATTCTTCTCTATTTTCATGGCTCTTTGGGGTAGGTGAGCACACGTGCATGGACACACACACACACACACACACACACACACACACACACACACACACACACACACACACAATGGTACATATTAGTAAGAATTTGTATAAATATTTGTATGTTAGCTTTTCTCTGGAGGTTTTTGAATGCATTGTTGTCAATGCCATCAGATTATATTACCAATGTCAATCTCAAACAGCATTGAGAGTAATTTTGCTTGAAAATCATTGTCGTGGTGTTGGTTAATATCCTTTGTAAATCACATTGTCTATTTAGGAAAACAAAAAGGGCATATGTCTAAGAATTTGGAATTGTGTGTCTGTGTGTGTGTGTGTGTGTGTGTGTCTGTGTGTGTGTGTGTCTGTGTGTGTGTGTGTGTGTGTGTGTGTGTGTGTGTTGTGTGTGTGTGTGTGTGTGTGTGTGTGTGCATCTTGCTTTTAATTGATACAAATACACACTTTATTTCCGCAATATTCAGAAAAGTATTTTTGTGACAGGAGTCCCGTTTAATCAAGTTTTATAGCTACACTAGTACATATCTATTGAGAATATGATGATTGAATAAACCTGGACACTCCAGAAATGATATGGGTCAAACTTCTTGTTCGTGTCAGCAAGACAGGTACATTTTTCACGCCAAAAAAAAGAAAAAAAGAAAAGAAAACGTCATGAATGACTTGCTTTTTTGATTGTCTTCATTGTCCTCTACTTTGTCTCGAAACGAAAGCCGCCATGTTCATGGAGCATTGGAAGAGGAGACAAATGAGGCTAAATTATGAATGGGACCTGACCGGGTTTGAAGATGAGGAGGTAAGACTTGAATGTCAGGCTGTTTGTAAGGGCAATCGAATTAACGATGGCCTGGGTTTTCCAAAGGAAGTCGTAAAGTCCTTCCCTTATACAGCTGTGCAAAGTAAATTCCGTTCATAGCCTTTTCAAAATTGTGATTTTGTTTTTCTACCAAATGAGCTGAAAAGAAACACCATCACGTGCAGGCAGCATGGTGGAGTTCTGATTTGCATGTTTCTCTGACAGCCGAGACACTTTGGGCTCCAATCTCGAGTCAGGCATACTTGTGTGGAGTTTGCAATGCCCTCCTCCCGCCCCCATGCTGAGTGGGTTACCTCCCGTATTTCACATTGGAAATGAGAGAGAGAGAGAGAGAGAGAGAGAGAGAGAGATCCTTACAGCCATACATTATCTAAGACGCTGATCCTCACGAGGGTCATGGCCATGCTGGAGCCTATCCCGGCTGTCACACGACAGCAGGCGAGGTACACCCTCGACTGGTGGCCAGACAGTCACAGGGCATGCATAAACCAACAACACTCACACGTACGGACAATTTAGAGCGTTCCATTAACCTCCCATGCATGTTTTTGGAATGTGGGAGGAAACCCAGAGATAATCCACGCAGGCACGGGGATAAGATGCAAACTTCACATAGCAAGCCCAGGCCAGCCACGACCTGAGGTGGATGTGCTGACCAGTCTTTAACCGTGCCACCCATATACAGTGAGTGTGTGTGTGTGTGTGTGTGTGTGTGTGTGTGTCAGAGAGAGAGAGAGAGAGAGAGAGAGACATAGATGCAAGTCTAAATGAAAATAAATATGCAGCACACATTGGTTTGAAATGCGTTTTTGAAGGTTTTTGGATGAGAGTTTTTATTCTTAAAATAAATACAACCGGGTGAAAATGTCAAATTAAATGCGTTCAATGATCCCTTTCATTTTTCTGACACTTTTTTTTTTTGGTCAAAGGTTTTCCAAAAATTGATGGAAACAAATTCATCACAGACATATAATGGGTGTTTCAAATCATTTTACTTGGTTTTCTTTTCATAAATCACGATTTTGTACGTGTATTTCTTTACAAAATGCAATATAGTATTGTAAGCGAGAGGGGCTACGCTCGGTGTAAACACAAATATACTCCTGCAAGGCTAAAAGAAGGGCGAAAGTTATGTATCTCTGTGCCACACTGAAAACTGTTCGTCCGAGACTTCCGCCACAATTTCCATCCGCCCTAACGTTCCTACCCCGTCTGTGATCTTGGCTGTCCGAACCGGAGTTCTAATCGGGCAGCGGGTAAGCCTGCGCCGTAGAGTGTGTACATGAGACACCTGAAACCTCCTGGGCCAACACAACGACCGTCAAGTCCGCCCCTGGTCCACCTTGGTGGGGGACAATGACTTCCACAAGGTCAGTGTGTTCAACAGCGAGGCGATCTTTGGCACAAGTAACCGGGTGACATTACCAGGAACGGACAAGAATATCGTTTTGATCCATCAACCGTTGTCGTTGTAGAATGAAAGGACACCGGGTGCTATCCTTGCTCCTCTGGGTGTGTGCAGTGTATTTTGTGGGAATTTACCTGTTTGTGGGTGGATTCCTGCTGGTTCGGTTGGAGGTGAACCGCACCAGCACCTGCGGAGACGTACTCGAACCGAGGGGAGAGTCGAGAGACTTTTGTGGGGTAAAACCACCTTTCCGCAGGGCTGTCATCCTGATTATCGACGCCTTAAAGATCGACTTTGCCCGTTTTGACCCCAACAACACTTGGCCTCGATCTTTTGAAAACAAAATGCCTGCGTTTGAGGAGACATGCTCATCCAGGCCTGCCCAGTGCCGCTTGTACCCCTTTCGTGCTGACCCACCCACGACCACCATGCAGAGAATCAAGGGATTGACTACTGGGTCTCTGCCCACCTTTGTGGATATGGGTAGTAACTTTGCATCTCGGGCCATTTCAGATGACAACCTCATCCACCAGTTTGGTCAAGTGGGTGAGTACTGTGTAAACATGCATAATCAGATCTTTTAGGAGAATGGGTGAGTTTTTAATACATACATAATAGAGAATTCTGTTCAAGGTTAAGCTTACATTCACTTGACTTTTGCAGTGTCAAGTACAACTTTATTGTCAAATGTCCATACAGAGCTGCCATGTCTTACATTTGTAGTCCATATGCACAAACCAGTTATTACCGTCTCATTCACCTGAGGAACGTCGAGAGTTCAGTGGTGCAGTGGTAGCGAACACACTGAAAATAAAACGTCTCCAGTGTTGTCATCTAACCAATTGTAGTCATCCGAAATGATGTCTAGACAAAACCACAGAGATACTTCCGCGCAAGAAGCACCAACGCAATCAACTTAGCCTGACTGCTGTGTTCAAAGCAAACTTGAGAAAAACGAAGTATGCAACCATGGCTTAAATCCACTATAGGCTGAGTACTAGTTTACCTTAGATGTGCATTTTATAATTTTATATTGCTCTATTTTGATCCCCCAAAAAGAGCTGTTAAAGCAGCTGTTGTGTGACAAATCGTTTTTTTCACTGTTGTTGATGGACAGTAATATTGTGTGAGAGATTATGTGTGAATAACTGCTCCAAGTGAAAAATGTTCATGTAAAATTGAAAATCAAAATTGTTGTTTCAGTAAATATTTGCATTTTGCATAGAAAACTGATCCATGATTCCATGTTGATGAGAGCATTAAAATAGGACAAAAAAATAGAAAAGGAAATTTAGAAACGATAAAAAACGTGTGAGTAATCACGATTAATTATAAGTTAATTATGACATTGCATTTTTAATCACGATTAAATATTTTAATCGTTTGACAGCACTAATATATATATATATATATATTCCAAGTGATGGAAACATCAGAAAGAAGGAACACGAGAAACTCGAGAAATACCAAGGGCTCAGAGAGGAGCTGGAGAGAGCCTGGAAGGTAAAGGTGACAGTCGTGCCTGTGGTGGTCGGAGCACTCGGGGCAGTGACCCCCAAACTAGATGAGTGGTTGCAACAGATCCCGGGAACAACATCGGACATCTCAGTCCAGAAATGTGCAGTGCTGGGAACAGCAAGGATACTGCGCAGAACCCTCAAGCTTCCTGGCCTCTGGTAGAGGACCCGAGCTGAATGAGGGATGGACACCACCCGAGGGGTGAGACGAGGATTTTTTTTTTTTTTTTTAGATATATATCACAAGAATACGGAACTATATTTACAGTACATAACATGCGGCCTGGTTCAGTGGTTAGCGCGTCAACCTCACAGTGTAGAGCAGTGGTCCTCAACTAGAAATTCTGTAGGTCCACTTTTTTTTTTTTTTTTAATAAGACCAAGGTCCGGTCCCATGCACGGCGGTCATGGGGAGCAGGGCTATATGCCCATTTAGTATGGTTAAGCCAAGCTTATACAAATCAACACTCCTCACAACCAACCAATAATGGGGTGCATGAAAATAACAATTATTCACTTTGCCAGTACACAGCAAATAATGAGAGGTATTGTGTTGAGGCACAGGAACTCTTTTATTTTGTTAAGTTGTGCCTGCTTAATAATAGAAATAGCCCTTTTAGGGAAATAAGACAATTTTTACTTTAACTTTGTTAAACAGTAGTTGTCTTTTTTTTCCCTTAATTTAACAAAACAATTTAACAAAATACTCATTTTACCAAAATAAATACTAAACATGAAAACAAAAATATCCTTTTCATTTGTACAATTCCCCTTTTCACATCCCCTCTGAAATCACTGAAAAATACAGTATATCAGAAGAGGAGTTAAGAACCATTTTAAAAACTGACACAAGGGAGCACAGGAATGTGCAGTGCTGTTCTTCCACTAAAGGTGAATGCAATGTTTGAGGCATGCAAATATTATTTGAGGACGCCATTGTGATGTTCATTTACCATGTTGCGGTGTTCTGCTGTTAAACAGCTGCAAAGATCCCCGGGTAGACGGGAGCAAAACTGCACACAATCGAAACCTCCCGCGATTCGTCTTGTCTAATTGTCTGTGTGCAGCTCTCCTGGACTGAAGCTGTGAGCACAACTGTGGCGTCGCGCATGCGTCTGTTTCCTGACACAATCATCCATTTTGAATGCGTGTGTATTGGGATAGACGCGTGCTGACGCTTATGTATGGGCACACCTTAAGTTCAGAGGAGCCAATCAGCGCATCGTTATCGCCGACATGCCCTGCTCAGCCAGGGTCTCCAGTTAGTCAAACATTATACAACACACAGTCGCGCTGCTGCGGTCCTCTGCAATACATCTGTTAGTGCACGCAAAGAATAAAACGGATAATTTTAACAAGCGATCGCGGTAATGCGCAGATTATAGTCCACAAATATAAAATGTATAACGTAAAAATCACTTTATAATTTATTATTTTATACAATTTGTCGAGGGTCCGGACAGAGGAGGTCCGGACAGAGGAGGTCGGCGGTCTGGTCGTGGATCGCGGTCCGCCAGTTGAGGAAGGCTGGTGTAGAGGTACGGGGTTGATTAATTCCAGCTCCGGCCTCCCTGTGTGGAGTTTGATTGTTCTGCCAGGGCCTACGTGGGTTTTCTCCGGGTACTCCGGATTCCTCCCACGTTCCAAAAACATGCATGGCAGGCTGATTGAACACTCTAAAATTGTTCCTAGGTGTGAGTGTGAGCGCAGATGGTTGTTCGTCTCTGTGTGCCCTGCGATTGGCTGGCAACCGGTTTAGGGTGTCCCTCGCCTACTGCACGAAGACGGCTGGGATAGACTCCAGCACCCCCTGCGACCCTTGTGAGGAATAGCGGATCGGAAAATGGATGCATGGACGGAGTACATAACATTGTTATTTTTCGATTCATGTCCTTCAATGCTGACCAGTGTGCCCAGTAGATCATCAAGTCAGCTTGGATAGTATGGATGAAGATAGGTGAATGAAATAACAATTGTTCAAGCAGGTGTTTATTCAAGTAAAAATTCCAATGTAGTTGGGACATTGTCTGAAACATAAATTTAAAACATAATACAATGATTTGCAAATCCTTTTCTACCTATATTCAATTGAGCACTCAACAAAAACAAGATTTTTTTTCTTTTGCATTTGCACAAATAAATTTTTCCCTCAACAAGATACTTCCCAAAAAACATGCACCTGCTCGTGTTTGCAACTTAATACAGTACTATACATCCTATATAATCTTGGCCCAAGGTCGGAGGTTTTTCTCTGAACCTTTCCAGCCCTTGACTGTTCTCCAGCAAGAAACTGAACCTCCCAGTTGCCTCTGTTTTGTAATCAGCAGAGGTGGGCATCGTCAGTCTGGTGAGTCCGTCAGTGAGCTGCCGTCAGTATTTCAGGCCAGTCAGGTCCCTCCAAGACGTCGGCAACAGCCAAACCACATCGACAATGGACTTACCGGTACTACGTCACATGCAGGTGCTGCACACCTGACACGCAGCCAAATCCAAATTCAGTCTCACAGATCTCAATGACCTCAATGACAGCCCTTATTATTTTTTATTTTTATTTCAGCAATCACTACGCTGTTTGTGTGTCTTTTTTTTTCTTTTTTTTTTGGCTGCTTGTACGGCTTGTGCGGTGCCCGTGTGTGACGTGCAAATTACGTTCTCGATGCAGTCTCGATGGACAAGGGACATACTGGGCCACATGGGTCGGCATGAAATACTTACGGAAACCGTGGCGGACAGACGGATCTTCTGTCACTCTGACGGAATGCGCACCTCTGCTAATCATGTGTGTGAATGAACTGCTTACTCAGCTTGCATGACATCATGTACTTCCAATTAATAAAGCACAGTTATTATATTTATTAATTGTCATGTTACCATAGTTAAGGGTATTCAAATTGCTTTTACTAACAATAGATCTTTCCCCTCCACCCCCTCCTTTGTCTCTCCTGGTTTATTTTTCACAGGAAGCACTCAAGGTTTGGATAAAGTATCTTTTTTTGTTTTGTTTTGTTTTTGGTTCTTGACATATGTTACTATTCTGTCTCTCTGCTACTCCTAAACTATGTTCTCATTATTTCCAAACACTTTAATGAATCTATTCATAAAATAGATTTAGATTTAGATAATATTGAGCAATTTGAGCCTGATTTTGGCAGTACAAATGCAAGAAATGATGGGCAGTGTTGAGTGTTGCTCTTCACACAGGGATAACAGAGATGCCATATTTTTCTTTTTCAGTTTTTTTCAGTTCTTCTTTTCTGAGGTTAATTATAATACAAAACCTTTGATAACATATTTAATTTCTGAAATGCCTCCTGCAGCAGCACTGAACATTTCATGTTTAAATTATGATAAACACAAAATTACAATACCTCATTCAGAATGATGTTTATGAAAGTTCACCATGATTAAACTGCTAACTTTAGTGTCTCACTTATCATTGAAATATGACTTTCTTCTTCCGCAGGGTCCATGTCCATCTTTTCAGAAATTCTTATTAACTTCACGCAAAGCACTTTTCACATCCAACAATTTTTTTTCTGTCCATCACTACCACAGGACCACCCCAGGGCTGAATATGAATTCCAAGTCATGCAGAAGTCTTTAAGCAGAGATCACAAAACACAATACAAGGTATTCCATACTGTGCTGGATTTTTTGGGGTTTTTAAGTCTTGGAGTATTTCCCCATTCAATGACCCAGCGGTTATGGATCAGCATTTATTTTGACACTTAATTCAGAAAAAAAAAATGTAATCGTCAAGGAGCGTATGCTTCATGGTGTTCTTTGTAACACTGAAACAGCAGCAATGAGTTTTTTCACACCGCGTGGACATCATTCATTGCGAGTATCTTTGTTGTTTTGCTCAAAATTATTCCTCAACTTCATTTGAACTGTTGAAAAGAAAAGAAGGAAATGAAAGACAATATTTGTGAATCACTGCGCAGTTCGGTTTTGCCAAATGAATGATCTGTACAATTGTAAAAAAAAATCCTTCTGTTGGTATTCTTTACAATGGGACATGTTGCTTCGGTTCCCAAATGTTTTGTTCCACCACAAATGTTCCACCGACCACCTCTAATGAGAGCGCACTTACCATATTTTCTGCACCATAAACTGCTTCGGATTATAAGGCGCTCCTTCAATGAATGGCCTATTTCAAAACTGTGTTCATATGTTGGGCGCACCGCTTTATAAGGCGCATAGAAGCTACAATTAGTGGCTGCCGTTGCATTATGCATCCACCAGATGGTGTTACGCTACAGGAATACAATACCATACAATACAGCTTTTTTTATACAGAGCCTTCGCAGCTGCTGCAACTGTAACAACGCGATGAGAACTGGTCACAAACACGGGCATGAAACATTTAAATACAAATGGCATTACAAAACAATAACAAGACAAGAAGGTATGAAGACAATTGATTAAACGAAAAGGCACACAACCTTCGTGGGCTCACATCTAAAAGGGGCTAAATATTCTTAGAAGTGTTGCTTGTCTCCTTCCTTCGTTGAGTCAGTAGTTAACTATGCTTTTGGTGTTATGTTCGTTTCATAATGGCTGCAGCGCTCACAAAGTAGTTTTGTGTGTCTGCTGGCGAATGCACACGTCAATTAGTGTCGGGCAAACCCATTTAGGTTACATGTGGTTCCTGCTAATAATCACCACTAGATGGCATAGGAACACTGACAGGGAAACAACCCAATGGGGAATATCAAGAGAGGTACAGTCTCTTTATATTAGGCGCATCCCATTTTAGGGTGAACTGTTGGCTTTTGAGAAAATTGAATGCTAATACAGTGCGAACAATACGGTATTCATATATTCATTTTCAATCGTTTTTGTATTTCTCAGATGGAAAAATTGACATGTCGAGATCGCCTTCCTGCTTACATGACGAATGTTGTCACAATGTTGTCCATGGTAAGGTGTTATTTCCTGTATATTGGTTCTTGGTTGTGATATACCTGTACATAGAGTATGATATTATAAACAGTGCATTCTATTTGTAAGTGTGCACATCTGAATTGCCAGATCGGTGTTACCTTTGCCATTGTATTTGGTGTCATCCTGTACCGGATCTCCACAAAAGCTGCTCTTCACATGAGCTCCAATCCAGTGACACGGAACCACGTTCAACTTACTGTCAAAACAACAGCAGCCATTATCAACCTTGTGGTCATCCTTATACTGGATGAGGTGTATGGAGCTGTGGCACGATGGCTCACTGTTTTAGGTAAGTAGATTTCAATATCTGAACTATTTAAAAGGTGTATTGACTCATTTTGTTCAGTGAGTGTGTCCAGTAGAGATCAATTGATTTATAGGCAATTGTTGAAAATGTTTTGTCAAATGGGTGATATGAGCAGTCACCCGGGGCGAAATTCTCAGAGAGGCGGCATGACGCTCATTCTCATCTGAGGGCATAAAGTTAAATCACACCCTCCATTGGACAAGACTCCAACAGCGGCCTTTGTTTTTTGCTTTTATTTTCAAATCGACACCATTTGTATCTTTGCACAAAAAGAGAGTTGAGTTCCAATGTGCACATTGTCATCCATATTGAACTGTGTTTTCCGCAACTAAAGCTTTCCGAAAAATGTTTTCACTCACTTTTGCTTTCATTGTTCTGGATGAATGCTCTGTGCGAGAACTTGCTTTTCTGCACACCGCAGTGCACAAAAATTGTCGATAAGAAGGGGAAATTGATTCATTCATGAAAGAGATCCGAGAATTGATTTGGATGACAACGATGTATCAGCTCACTGAGTTCATAGGAATTAATGATAGACAAAATTAGTTCATGATTCATTGTGACAAGAGTGACAAAATTCAATACATTGAGAAATAATGGCGTACTGAAATAATTCAAGAGATAGTGAAACAGTTCAATAAGTGTTGAAATATTAAATACAGGGGGAGATCTTGCCCCAAGTGGAGGAGTTTAAGTATCTTGGGGTCTTGTTCATGAGTGAGGGCAGGAGGGAGCGAGAGATCGACAGGCGGATTGGTGCAGCATCTGCTGTGACGTAGACTTTGCATTGGCCTGTTGTGGTGAAGAAGGAGCTGAGCCAAAGAGTGAAGCTCTGAATTTACCAGTCAATCTACATTCCAACCCTCATCTATGGTGACGAGCTTTAGGTCGTGACCGAAAGAACGAGATCCCAGATACAAGCGGCCGAAATGAGTTTTCTCTGCAAGATGTCCGGGCTCTCCCTTAGAGATAAGGTGAGAAGCTCGGTCATCCGCGAGGGGCTCAAAGTCGAGCCGCTTCTCCTTCATGTCCAGAAGAGCCAGATGAGGTGGTTCGGGCATCTGATTAGGATGCTTCCTGAATGCCTCCCTGGTGAGGTGTTCCGGGCATGTCCCACCGGCAGGAGGCCCCACGGATGACCCAGGACACGCTGGAGAGACCATGTCTCCCAGCTGGCTTGAGAATGCCTCGGGATTCCCCGGGAAGCACTGGAAGAAGTGGCTGGGGAGAGGGAAGTCTGGGCTTCCCTGCTAAAGCTGCTGCCCCCGTGACCTGACTCCGGATAAGGGTTAGAAAATGGATGGATGGACAAATACAAATGCAGCTTGATCGGGCACATAAGTCAGTGAAAACTATAGGCAGGTCCCAAGCCTGGATAAATGGATCAGGAAGGGCATCTTGCTTCGAACTTTGCCAAATCATTTTGAATGTTAATCAAAAGAATTTCACACTGGATCGGTCGCGGCCAGGGTAAACTACAAACACCATCCATCTGCGCTGTTAATGTACAAGATGAAAAAGCATATTCAAAGGCGGAAACAGAAGAGGAAAGTACAGAAATTAGAACTAAAATTAGGAATTTGGAATGATGGATCTGTACAGGAAACGCTCGTGATTTGGTGGATGTCATGATTTGGAGAAATATTGTATCGTGTGTCTAAAGAAGCAGGTGGAAAGGCAGTAAGTCAGGCTCAAGAAGCTTAGGGGCAATTTTCAAATTGCTTTACCATGGTGGAAACGGGAACAGAATGGAAAAAAAAGCGTTATTTAAGATAAGAAAACCTTTATTAGTGTCACAATGGAGAAATTCCCAATTCACAGCAGCAAAGTCATGAATGGAAGAAGTAGAAGAACAAAATATTGGAGCTGCTGGAAAGGCAGCCACTGTTGCGGTGCCATCTTGAAATCAAAATAACAAAATAACACAAAACACATAAGACACAGACAGTCGTGCAATCTTAATCACTTTTCCTGCATACACTTTGTTGTTTGAATAAGTTATAGATGAAAGAGGAGAGGATCAAAGTGTCCTTTCACCAGTGGATCAGAGACGTCATGCTGAAAATGTGCACACGTCTGCCACAAGCTAAGTTTTGAAAGCAAACACGAAGCTGTAGCGTCCATTGACGAAAAGAGATTGGCTCACATCTCCTGTCCCACGTAATCCGCTTCAACTCCAAGCCGCGACTCCCAGTTCCACATCCGCATCGGTTCTCTGCGTTGACGCTCCTTTCTTCTCATCGTCGGCTCCTCAATCCTTGCATCCATCCAGCCGCAGACTGTCCAACAGCACTGATCTCTCCGCTGAACAAAGCGGTTCAAACAAAGTTTGGTGCAGATTGTAATGGACATCCTGGTACACTAAACAGGGTGATGAAGAAGTCATAGGGTGGGAAGGTTGACATATAAGAGTGTGCTGGAAGCACACACAAGGATCACATCTTGTGCAAACGATGTAATCTGAAGGCAGTTACTGGCGGTAAATTAGTGGTCGGGGACAGTGAAGCAAGACAAGATCACCCTCTTGGGAGTGAGCAATATACTTAGGATGGCAACACTGAAGCCAAGTCACTGAGAACCATTGTATGTGCACCCCAGCTAATTTCAGTTGGGTATTAACAGACAGGGCGGCCCGGTAGGCCAGTGGTTAGCACGTCGGCTTCACAGTGCAGAGGTACCGAGTTTAATTCCAGCTCCGGCCTCCCTGTGTGGAGTTTGCATGTTCTTCCCAGGCCTGCGTGGGTTTTCTCCGGGTACTCCGGTTTCCTCCCAGGTTCCAAAAACATGCATGGCAGGCTGATTGAACACTCTAAAATTGTCCCTAGGTGTGAGTGTGGGCGTGGATGGTTGTTCATCTCTGTGTGCCCTGCGATTGGCTGCCCGCCTACTGCCCGAAGACAGCTGGGATAGGCTCCAGCACCCTCCGCGACCCGAGTGGGGATAAAGCGGTTTGGAAAATGAATGAATGAATATTAACAGACAGATCCAGAGATCAATTTCGTTTTTTCATTTGGTTTCAATGGAGAATGGTAGTAGTAATATTGTCCTTTTTATTGGCTGCGGCTAAGTCGTCTATGGCCTTTGATTGCAGTACAATTCATTTGGTAAACCCCATTGTATTGAGCTTGCGCATGGCTGTACATTACAAGTGAAACTTCACAACAGTTGAAGGTTGCTGTATGTTAAATTTTAGGCACCCTGGTAACCCGCACACATTATACTGTTAACTGCCTTTCACTCATATAAGTAGAAACCTGAAGCCACAATTGACACAAATTGAGAGGAGAAAGTGAAAGCCTTGCAAATGGGTGTTTTTTTTTCTCTTTTAGAGGTTCCAAAAACAGACAAGAATTTTGAGGAGAGACTCATATTTAAGACCTTCATTCTGAAATTTGTCAATGCTTTCACACCAATCATCTACATTGCTTTCTTCAGGGGAAGGTTAGTGGTTTTATGGTTTCATTTATTTTACTTAGTAGAGCTCACGACTGACTTAAAAAAAAAAAAGGAATAAATTGCTTTCATTGTCTTTTCCTACCAGGCTGGTCGGCCGACCAGGCAACTATTTGTATGTTTTTGAATCCTACCGAATGGAAGAGGTAAGGGTTGCAATTTTGGAGGAAAAAAAAAAAAACTAAACAAATTAAAAAAAAAAACTAAACAAATTTTGTAACTATTTTAACTGACTCAAAATATTGTTGCACTCTTTTATCCATAATAGATTACAAATAAAACTTGAGTTAATTAACCTTACTGTTGACCTTCCCAGCTGGTATTCCATATTGCAATGTGAATCTCGTGATTAATATTAAATGTATTGATGCTCGAATCTGGAATGCTGTGAAGTAGGAAACCTTCAAGATCTATCTTCAAAACAATGGAAGTGAAATTGTTTGTGTTGAAAACAACCTCATACCTGCTTTCATACTTTTTTTTTTAATGTGGAATTTTGTTAGAATTATTATATAGACACCACATGAAGATATTTTTTAAGAAGTGACACTGAAAAATAGAATTGATCTGCTGTTTCACAACCCAATTCTGGATTCACAGTGTACTCATGGAGGCTGTCTGATGGAGTTGTGTATTCAGCTGAGTATCACCATGTTGGGAAAACAGCTGATTCAGAACAACCTTTTTGAGATTGGAATACCGTAAGTTTTCATCGGATTTTGATTGTAGTACTTTAGTAAAAATACAGGGGGGTGCCAACTTACAATACAATACATCCTGATTTACAATGTGCCTTCACAACAGCTGCAGCTGTAACGAAGCGCTTTACAAAACATTTAACATAAAGTAAAATAATAAACACAAAATATAACAAAAAAGCACGGACAGCCGTACAATCTTAACCACTTTTCCCTCACACGCATTGTTGTTTGAAGCAGTTCTAGCTGAAATAGGAAAAAAATCAAAGTGTCCTTTCACCAGTGGATCAAAGGCGTCATGCTCAAAATGTGCACACGTCAGCTACAAGCTAAGTTTCAAAGTAAACAAGAAGCTGTAGCGTCCATTGATGATAAAAAAGGGATTGGTTCACTTCTTCTGTCCCATGTAAAGCCACTTCACTTCCAAGCGGCGACACTTCCAACTTAGGTATATGGGTTTGTATAACATCCGTGAAACTAGTGACATATATGATGGATGTATTTTTATTATTTTGAATAATAAAAATAATAAGGATCGTCTATTTTCTCTTTTTTAATAACTGTATAGCTACTTTTGCACCCCCCGTGTATATTTGCATTTTCACCATTCTTCTGAATGTATCAATTCTGGTAGGAATGTGTCAACCAACTGGTCCCGCTTAAATCACAAGAATACTGTTGTGATGAAAGTATGCAGTCACTGCCATGCAATCGTGCATTAAAATCATGTACATATCTTACAAGGACCTCAACTACATCGAATATCTTGAAAAGCTAGATTCATATTGCTATTTTATTATATTATATTGCAAATTTCCCCAGTGTGGGACAAATAAAGGTTATCTTATCTATGCAACACTATTTGAGAGTCCCTGTCAAGTGAATTCAGGGATTTGTTTTTTTAATATATGAAGCATGTTCGAAGATACCCACTGAAAACGTGCTAATGCTTGAAGCTATGTAGCTTATTTATTTTTTTTGTGGAGGGTGTTTCTAAAACGGGGCTCACATGAGTCGCCTCTCTGACACTATATGTGACCGGCTCTGGCTATAAGGTCCTCATGGGAGGGAAAAAAGATGCAAATTGACATATTCATGTATTACAATACTACACTTAACTTCCTTTAATCCTGGAGAACCCACGGGGTCTAATTTGGCCCCTATAAATTCTGCTACTCAAATGCTACCCTTAAATCCCAAAGGGTCAAATTTGGCCCTCATCCTAAATTAGGATTAAAGCATTGAATATTTGAAAAAAACATATTTTGGTGTTCAGTGAACATATAGCAGTCATTTAATGTACAATTCATCATTTTCCAAAGAAGAAAAGGGTTCTTGGGTTCTCCAGGGTTAAAATGATATCCAGTATAATACATGGAAATACCCCCAAAATACTACAAAGTGATAACAATTGTAATGTTGCCGGATTGAAATCCCTAGTTTTGGTTGGGGGGGGGGGGGGGAATACATTGCGAGAGACTTTCATAAGTTTCTTCATCGTTATCCTATTTTTCAAAAGGTCTGTATCATCGGAAAGATTGCTAAAACACAGATCTCATGCATGTTTTGTATTAATAAATTATTTTTGTTCAAATTCCATCTGAGTCCATGCTTTGAGAGTCTGATTCTGTCCAGATCATTTCGGAATTTGGGACACATTTTATTTATTTGTTATTTTTGTTGTTGAAACAACGTTGAAGCATTTGTAGTGGATGAAATCATTTCATCACGTTAGTCGGAATTTGCATCATAAGAAAGCCAGCGGCAACATGATTGCCAATATGATCTTTTTGATGGTCATTTGTCAACTGTAAATTTGGGGAAAAATTCTAGATGTGGAACTCACATGTGGTGGGCTACTGGATCAATATGAAAACTCGGCTAAATGCTATCAGCTCGATGGACATTAGTCAACGCATTACAGCAAAGTTATTCCTGTTAAAATTATTGGTACTGTTTATAAATGACTACAGTTACAATACATTGTGTACATAGGGTAAAATATGTTTTTTGTGTGCACGCATGGTCTGAGGATGTTCTAAATTTGTTCGCCAAATATGTAGAAACTCAAGTACGTACCAATTAGTGGTGCGTACACACATTAGTAAATGACTGCAATCAACAGGACCAATATGTTTCTTTGGAATTGAAAACACTTAAATATTAAAGGATCTCCATTTGTCCATTCCACAGAAAGCTAAAGAAGCTAATTCGCTATATCCAGTCAAAGCAAGGCACTTTTCAAGAGGAAGAGAGGCAGAAGAAGTTGCAGAGATATGAAACTGACCAGTTTCTGGAGCCATTTTCAGGATTAACACCTGAATATATGGAAATGAGTGAGTACCACAAATGAAAATATCATTTTATTGACACATGTACACAAACGGTGTCGTGTCTCTCACTTCTCTTGAGTGAATCAGTGTATCTGTTTACTCATGCATTCATATGTCTTTTTACAAAATAACCAAGAATAATTACCAACCAGCAATATATCCAAAGGATATTTACAGACAATGCCATGTAATAGGAGGATAGGTGACAATTTTTTATTATTTTTTTTTAACTGTATTGATAGAGCACTTTCAAACAGCCATCACTGCATTCAAAAGTGCTGTACATGGAGCAATTCAACATATACAACAAACAGTAAAGCAAATCGGTAATAAAGACGGTAGAAAGCACCGAACAGCAAAACCAAGAACAAATCTAAGTCATGCTGAGTCAAATGCCAAAGAATACAAGTGAGTTTTGAGGCGGGTTTTGAAGATGGGCAGTGAGGAAGCTTGCCGAATGTTCAGTGGGAGGTCATTCCAGAGAGAGGGACCAGCAACAGAAAAGGCTCGATCCCCTCTGAGACTCAGTTTAGTTCTTGGTACTTCTAATCATGTCTGGTCCGCAGACCTGAGGCGCCGGGCAGGTGTGTAGGGGCGGATGAGCTCAGAGAGGTAAGGCGGCGCGAGGTCATTTAGAGATTTGAAAACAAATAAGAGGATTTTGAAAATAACTCTAAAATGTATGGGGAGCCAGTGAAGGGATGCCAGAGTAGGAGTTATGTGCTCCCTCTTACGAGTACCAGTCAAGAGGCGAGCAGCGGCATTCTGGACCAGCTGGAGACACTTAATGGAGGACTGGCTGACTCCAAAGTAAAGGGCATTGCAGTAATCGAGCCGGGACGTGACAAAGGCATGAATTACTGTCTCAAAGTGTTCATGAGAGAGGAGAGGTTTTCCTTTGGCCAGCTGTATAAGGTGAAAGAAGCTGGATTTAACAATGGCACTAATTTGCCGGTCAAGTTTGAAATCACTGTCCAGTTTAAGGCCCAAGTTTGAGACTGTTGACTTAAGATAAGGAGACAGGAGGCCCAAGTCAACAGGATGGGATGTGCAAGGGCCACTGGGACCAAACA